CACATACACACACACACACACATACACACACATACACACATACACACACACACACATACACACACACACACACACACAAACACTCACAAATATATATATATATACACACAAATATACCTATATACATTCATGTAAACATAATTATATAGGTTGCAATGAATAATAATAAATGCATACATGTGTTTATATTATACAATGTATCCGAGTTTTACAAATTTTCTTATTTTAAGTGTAGTTGTTTTAAAGCTATATGCAATATGTTAAAAGAAAAGACTCTTAAAGGATGAACAAAGGTGCTAGTATATAAATTAGCTAAAAAGAAGCACATCGAGAATACGAAAGAAAGGTTTACTTTTCAGTACCTCAAAATTACAAAGTTTTATCTGACATTGTTTTTGCTGTTTTGAGGTCAGAAACCAAAATATGTTCTATCTGCTCTATTAAAACTGTAAGATCATTCGGAGTGGTTATCAAGATATTCAAAGAATTGCACTCGAAAAGGCTTAACCCTATCCGTACATCGTGTTTTACTATCGTATCCATACGACGCGGGAAACTTTGTGCCACAACTTTCCAAAGAGGAAAATTTACTCCGTACGCTTTGCATAGCAATCTGTCAAAATATTTTTTGAGAAATAATGAATTTCAAAGAGATCTCCGAACTAGAAGTATTATACAGTGTGAAGAATACAACCACGGGGGTACAAAACGACCACAGGGCGTACGGATAGGGTTAACATGAAGATAAACTAAAAAATCTTATCAAGTTTCTAAAAACTAGGTACTGAGCAGGCAAAACGTTGTAATTCTGAGGTAGCGAGAAGTAAACATTGTCCCTCGTATTCTCGATGTGTTTCTTTGCAGTGGAGAAGGTTAGGATGCAAGGGCAATAATTTCACTATATTGTTATACTTAATTATGCAACACTTATTCAATCAAGCACTCAGAGCGCCCCTCCCCCCCCCCCTTTATTGAAGATAGTAGCAGTCATTCTTTTTTTTTTCTTTTTTTAAGAATGAAGTAGTGCATTTAGATTAAGCTGGCCGATTGCACATTTCATTATCCCAGAAAAAGATGAACCTTTTTTGTGAAGAACGACCAGTCCACATGAGGGGGAACCCAAACAAACAAACAACAATTGACAAACAGATAGGCAAACAAATAAACCCCCCCCCCCAAATATACCACCCTAAAAAACCCAATATGTAATAACAAACGGAAACAAAACTTATACCACCTTTACATCGAATAAGAATGACCCC